CTGGAGTTTTTGCTGCGCTCTGCACAAACAGGAGTGTTTGTGATTTGCACTCTGCTCGACATAAACCAGGGGGGTTTCAAACTGTTTTGCAGAACCCTAGAGGTCTGGGAGAACCTGATGGGGTTCCATTATAGACTAAGGGCAAACAAAGAACAAACAGAAGGTTCAGTTGAACACAGCCAATTTTCTATCACTTAGAGCAGGGTTCCCCAAAGGGGTCAATACCGACCCCCAAGGGTCAGTGGGGCCATTCATCATTACTATTGTTGTTAGTAGGAGTAATACTATTAGTTAAAGTAGTATTTATTAAATTATTTTCATATCATAAATGTTTGGGGGTCAATGAACAATCTGAAACTTCATGAAGGGGTGGATGAGGTGAAGTGTTTGGGGACCCCTGACTTAGAGCTTTGCTACTTAATGAAAAAGTTTGAAAACTCTTGCATTAAACCATAATCTGGCTTGCGTAGTTCGGGTTTATATGATGCGCAGACCAACTACGGTGGTCTCTAAATCATGATTTATGGATTAGTGAGCTGTGTGACCTCAGTTAATGTGGTTCCTGTGCATTTTCTTATGTCAAATAATTAGCAAGGTAAAAAAAAATCATGTTAGTGCCCAAACTAGGCTCCATTAAGATCACCTGACTCGAACAGAATCCAAGCAAACTGAGACTATTACATCTCATATTTCCAAAATATGGGAATGTTCCAAGGCCTTTTGTTATCTCAGGAAAGATAAAATAAAAAATGTGTTGACTTGCAAGGTGAAGCATTGCACAAGCATGTACTTTTAGACTGGAAGAAAAGGTATTTACCTTTTTGGCGTAAAGAACAATTTTCTGGAACTGACTAGTTTCTGCAAAACACTGGATTACTTTGTTTGGTACATTTGCACGGAGATAAACACTGAGGGCAAGGGTTGGGTCAGCAGCCTTTACCAAGTCACCCAGCTCTTCGGAGCACTCCAGCTGAAACAGAAGACTTCAGAATCAATGTAAATCAAACTGTTAAACTGCATGCTACTTGACGGAAGAGGGCAACTAGATCAGCATTTCCAAGTTACTGACACCATGCCCGCCTCTGCAAATACTTTCACTTCCCAGCGACGTCCAAACCACCACAACTGTTGCTGTTGGCAGGATACGACGGTCTGCATCTCAGTGACTGACTCTGCTGCTCAGGGAAAGGACGCCAGCTATTGTTAGCTAGACGATGGTGCCAACTTCACGTTCATTTCAAACAGGGAGGGAAACACCCTGTGCTTCCCCCAGAGCCTTTGGTGAAAATCATAAATAATTTTTAATGTATTGATAAAGATAAATTCAACAGAGAAGGAATAATCTTAGGGGGTTTAATTAAATCTGTTGAAATTCAGTATCAATGGATTGCAATCCAATTAAGGTTTTGTCCTGTTCCTGCCCACTTCCTGAAGAACAGCTAGTTTGAAGACACTCTCCACCCGCTCCAAGTGCTCACAGGTAAGCTGAAGTAGAGAGCAAGACCTGAAGCAAGAGAACCAACTCTCTCAAGACGGGTAGATTGGAGAACTTCACCACATGTCGTGGTTAAGCCTAACGATGCATCTTTGTTTGTAACCTAATGGGTAGCAGAATCACAAAACCAAAGGTGATGGCTCACCTTGTCTTCTTTCAACCATTTTTCTAGCAGCTGCTTACGGCCTTGCTGAAGGACGGGACGGCAGAGTTCCAGAGATTCAAATTTGTTGAGCTGGCCTTGGTCAAGGAGGATACCAAAGTACTGCAGTAAGGGCGAGGCTTGTCCAGGTTGAGCTGGGACACTCTGAAACTTCCGGATGGTGTCGCTAGTGCGCAGGATGCCCTGGACAGTGACACTGGATTGTTAATGCGGGTTTTATGGATTGTCCCAAGGGAGGAAATCTAGAGCAAACTCAACTGCCCATTTTAGAATACCAAGTTGAATCAAGTCAATGTTGTCAGCATCCCATTATCCGCAGGGATTAAGCAGATGTTTCAGATGGTCCTAATCCCAGCTCTGCTTCACAAAATCAAGAGTCAGCACCCAGAGTTTGCGTCCGTCCGTCCATCCATCCATCCATCCATCCATCCATCTCTATCAAGAGTTATTCAGGGGGAGAATGCCTCTGAACATTGGAGGGCTCGTTTAATTTTCAGAGTAGCAAGAACCACTGCAGAACTGCCCACTCTGAATTGTCTAACTCTGGGCAATTTTTGGAAGCGTTCCAAATCTCTTTTGGTTCTGGGGAACCTACTGAAAACTACAATACTTGACCTGCTTAAGTAAAGGAGTCAGTGCTATCCAACTCAGCAGGACCCGCTTCAGCGCAACTAGCCACAGCTGGCTTCAAACTAAGGACAAGGCGCAGAAGCAAGTTGATTCTGTTCAAATGTGTATCAGAAACATATATGCTTTGAAACACTAGAGTAACCACCATCAGAGTTGGGAAGGAAGAGAAAGAGAAAAATTACATGTCAGAATTCAGTAGGGCTACTAATTTGGATTCCAAGTCAAGGCCCTCTGCAGTGAACTGGGGACTGCAAAAACCTGTAGCAGTTGTTCTGTCTCCCTAAAGAACAGCCAGTGTTAGAAGCAAAAACAAAACAAGAAATAAAGTAGGATTTGGGACCATCTGCTGATTTATACAATCCAGAATATAGGTACAATGCTCCCCTGCCATGCTTGGTATAGAAAATCAATTGGGCAAGATGGCGCATTATTTCAATGATCTTGTGTTACCTTCCCAGCA